TTCCCAACACCTTCTGTAGTCCTCCCAACCATGAGTTAAAAAGACAAATAAGCGCAAAGGTCTGCTGCTGCTTTGTATTAACAGACAGCTGATGTCTTCCTTGTGTTGCTTCCTGACATTGTTTAATGTAGTGTGGGTTAGTTTCCCATTTGTTTTACAAACTAATAAGGCACAAATGTGTGGCAGCTGGTTCAGAACTGCAAGATCACAGATCTAGAGAGTGGCTGTGTGCAACGGAGACCTAACTCCTTAATATTACCAAACCATTTCATTTGCTAATTTTACAATGCAAGGGTTTTATGTATTTTATGTTGAGCTGTGCCCATGGATTCCATATAGAACAAGGAATGTTATTTTTGCTGTTTAGTAATTAAGATCTCAGCCTTATTTTAAACATGTTGAGAGGTGACTAACAAGAACAATAGGTTCACCCAAAGAACCTTGTCTGCCTGAGAACAGCAGGTTGCATTCAAATGGATAACAGTTTACAAGTGCTCAGAAAGTTGCAATGCAAAAGTCGCAATTCCATTATACATGCAGAGGTTCCCCCCCACCCCTTTTTATAAACAGCAATAAGGGGCACTTGGCAGAACAGAATATACAAAATTAGAGGTGTTGCAGATACAGTAGTTATGTATCAAAGCCTGGACTACAACAACTAGTAACATAGGGACTTCCTTTTCGCATGAGTTGATTGTCTCTCACCTTGAATAATGTAGGCATGACTGATCAACACTGTAGCAAAGATACAGTCTTGGGAAATACGAAAACTAGCATGCTATAAAGACTAAGTTGACAAAGCTTGTTAGAAATAATGGTTTAAAGCGTGGTTATGCTCTTAAAGTATGCAAGCGATTAATATAGCTGGATAAGATGGCTTTATGCTATTATGGGTTCCTAACACCTGGATTAATGCAAAAATGGTGTAGAGGGAATCTGGCCCTAGCTACTTTTTGCAAAAGCTAGTATTTATTTGTAAATGAGTTATAATAGAAACTGTAAATCAAAGAATAAAGAAGGTGGTTTTATTTTTCTGGAGCAGTAAAGCCTGATAAAGTGCATTGAAATGGATATGAAAACTGTTTCTTAGATGTATGAATGGCTGTTGCCCCCCAGAGTTTACTGCTGAGAACAAATTGGTTTTATGTCACATTTGGGACCAGTCTTTTTAGATAAGAATTTGCTGCTGTTGTGGCTGTGGAGAGTGTAATGACCATCTTAATCTGATTGATACGCTTTGCTGTAATTTGAGCCTTGAAAAGATCAGGGAAGGCTACAGGACAGGCCTTTGTGCTATGGATTGCTACACCAGCAGATGGAGCTCTGCTTTGCTTTGCCCCCTTGCAGTCATTAAAAACCTTCCCAGTGCATCTGTTCTTCAGTAAACTTGGCCTGAGGAGACTTAATGTCATCTTGTGCTGTTGGTGCTTTCCCTGCCAGGCTCTGCAGTCTGCATACAATGGGATGTTCAGTATGAAGCCCTCATAGATATGCAGGCAAGTAGAATGCTAAATTGGTTGACTGCTGTGGACGGTTCCATCTTAATTTGTATAGAGGGAGAGCTGAGCCTTGGCTTGGTAGACCATTGCATTAT